TCTCCTAGCACATGGATGTTCTGCTTCCTGATCATGTGACGTGTGACATATGCAGATGAAGATCGGCTTTAGAGCTGAGATGTTTGTTCTCTCGGTGCTGGGGCTCGTCTGACACCCACACAGTAAAAAAAAATGCAAATGACGACTTTAATCGTCAATGGCAGTGAATGAGTTAAATGTCTTAAAAATATGATGTCAGTTCGTCTGGTGATCTCTGACATTGGTGAAGCAGACTGTGGGCGAATGTCATAACCTTTGCGCTAAAAAAAAACGCTGTTTAACACCATCAGCAGCATCGTCTCTCCTGCCTCTCCTACAGCCTCCATCCACTCTGTTGCAGGCTGTGAGAACTTTCTGTCTTTCTTTGTGGACAAAGTCAATAAGGTTAGATCTAGCATCTCTCCTTCAGCCTTATCGCTGCCTCTCCCGACTCCAACCAGGCCCATCATCCTAGATAGCTTTGCTCCTGTTTCTTTGCCTGAGTTAACCAAAATAGTTAACTCTATGAAGACCTCTGCATGCCCCCTCCACATCTTACCCTCATCTTTGTTTAAAAGTGCTTTTCAGGCCATCGGTTCCAGCGTGCTCTCTATAATTAATGCTTCTCTGGTTTCTGGTCAGGTCCCTGCTTACTTTAAGAACGCTGTAATCCACCCGCTTCTTAAAAAACCGAGTCTCGACCCCTCTCTCCATAGCAGCTTCAGACCCATCTCCAAACTTCCGTTCATCTCCAAGATCTTGGAAAAGGTTGTGGCTAAACAACTCACAGCTGCTCTTGATGAACATAACATCTATGATAGCTTCCAGTCAGGTTTTCGTAGAGCTCATTCTACTGAAACAGCTCTTCTTAGGGTCTCTAATGACCTTCTGACTCACAGTGATGCAGGGGACTGTTCTGTTCTGGTCCTGCTGGACCTGACTGCAGCCTTTGACACTGTTGACCATCACCTGCTACTGGAGAGGCTGAGAGACTGGGTAGGCCTATCATGATCTGCTCTGGAGTGGTTCTCCTCTTATCTCTCTGAGCGCTCCTTTTCTGTGGCCGTCCCCAAGTTTAGGTCCTCCACCACCTCTCTTACCCATGGTGTCCCACAAGGTTCTGTGCTGGGGCCTCTGCTCTTCCTCCTCTATCTGCTTCCTCTTCAGCACATCCTGAGCTCCTTCAAAGGAATCTCCTACCATCTTTATGCAGATGACATCCAACTGTACATCTCCTTTAAGCCCCATGAGATGTCTAAGCTGCAGCTGTTACACACCTGCTTAGACTCTATCAAAACCTGGATGGCTGGGAGCTTTCTTCAGCTGAATGAAGATAAGACTGAGATCCTCATCTGTGCCCCAGACAAGCTGGTTCCCAAAGTCAGAGACTCTCTTGGTCAGCTTGCTTCTCACACCAAACCTTCCGTCAGGAATCTTGGCGTGACCTTTGACCCAGCTCTCACCCTGGATTCTCATGTAAGTTCTCTTGTTCACTCTTCCTTCTTCCATCTCAGGAACGTTGCTAAGCTGAGTCCCATTCTGTCTCGCTCTGAACTTGAGACAGTTCTCCACACCTTCATCTTCTCACGCTTAGACTCCTGTAACTCTCTTTTCACGTGTCTGAGCAGAACCTCCCTGAACCGTCTACAGGTGGTTCAGAACGCCTGTGCTCGGCTTCTGACCAAGTCCTCCAAACACACCCACATCACCCCGCTTCTCCTCCAGCTTCACTGGCTGCCAGTCAACTTCAGGGTTCATTTCAAGATCCTGGTTCTGGTCTATAGGGCCTTACATGGACAAGCACCATCTTACATTGGTGATCTTCTCAGTCCCTACACCCCCAGCAGGTCCCTGAGGTCCAGTGATCAAAGTCTACTGGTTGTGCAGCGCACCAGGCTAAAGACCAAAGGTGACAGATCATTTGCTGCTGTGGCCCCCAGACTCTGGAACTCTCTCCCCCTGAGCCTGAGATCAGTGGACTCAGTGGTCTCCTTCAAAAAGCAGCTGAAGACTCACTTGTTTAAGCTGGCTTTTTTATGACCTTCTTCACCTCTCTCTCTTTATTCGGCTCTCCCCACCTATTCCACCTTCCTCAGGATCCACTGATTTCCCTCTTTCCTATTCACTCTCTCTCTTTCTTAACATTTTTTCTTTTAAATCCCAATTGCTTATTCTTGCTCATTTTAAATATATTTTTAAACATTTTCAAAATGCTTTTTTTCTATTTTTACAATTTTTATATTTTTTGTTTTTGTGTAGCGCTTCGTGATTTTTATCTTGAGTGGCGCTATAGAAATGATATTTTCTTCTTCTTCTTCTTCTTCTTCTAAATGGCCTTCACACGCTGTTCTTGGTTGGAGAGGTGTCTAATGGCAGTTTATTCTAGCTTCAGCTTTGCTACTATAAATGCCAATACCCTCCCCAGGATACCACGGCAAATCCCGTTTTAAAAACGCTATAGAGCTCCGGGAGTTGATGTCACTTCTCCCGGCATGCAACAGTTCAAATCGAAACGGCGCCATATTGGCATGCAGAAGCCGGCAGCTGGACTATTTGTTATTGTCAGAAAACTCAATCAAACGGGAAATATGGTAGATTCCTGTTGTGCCCCAGGATCATCGACATAAATATATGGACAATGGTTTTCCATAGGCTCCAATAACAAGTTTTTCTGCTAAAATGGGAGGTGGCCACCACCGCCATTTTGACCATGTCACAGGTCCCGTCAAGCCCAGACAATTCCACAAAAGGGAAGAGAGGTGGAGCTGAGGGTGGGGCTGTAAGGCTGGGATCGACTGACAACACCCGGTCGAAATAGCTACAAGCTAACCTGAAGCTAACCCAAAGCGCCGCTGCGGTCTGAGATGCGCAGAGCTGCCGCTGGGGAGAACCGTGTGGAAAGGTTTCCATCCCAGAGCTCCACAAGCCGTCAGCCCGCGCAGCAGACAGAAGCCGCAATCAGACAGAGATGCGCTGAGCTGCGGGGAGAAGTGGCGTATTTTGGCAGTTTTGGCTTGCCATAAGAACCAGCCGTCTGCCCGCGCAGCTAACAGAAGCCACGATCAGACAGATGCGCCGAGCTGCTGGGAGAACCAGCCGTCAGCCCGCGCAGCTAACAGAAGCCGCGATCAGACAGAGATGGACCGGGCTGCGGGGAGGGGATAAGGGTGGAAAACATTGGTTTCCCGAGAGCTCCACAAGTCGATAGTGGGAACCCAGCTCCACCAACATGTTATATTTCAACCCATTTTCTAAAGTGCAGCATTATGTTAAATGCACTGGGTTTTACCCTATTACATTTAAATTTCATGGTTAAACAGTACATGTTAAAATCTAAGCTCAGCTCGGCAGTGACCTAAAATACATAAATATAATTTTACTTACCGAAAAAAATGAAGTGGAGACTCCTTGGACGCTCTATTAGTGCAATTAATGCCTCAGCAAGTCATTTTGTCCAACAATTGCACAAAAATATCCAAAAAGTCCCGTCAAGCCCAGACAATTCCACAAAAGAGAAGAGAGGTGGAGCTGAGGGTGGGGCTGTTAGGCTGGGATCGACTGACAACACCCGGTCGAAATAGCTACAAGCTAACCTGAAGCTAACCCAAAGCGCCACTGCGGTCTGAGATGCGCAGAGCTGCCGCTGGGGAGAACCGTGTGGAAAGGTTTCCATCCCAGAGCTCCACAAGCCGTCAGCCCGCGCAGCAGACAGAAGCCGCAATCAGACAGAGATGCGCTGAGCTGCGGGGAGAAGTGGCGTATTTTGGCAGTTCTGGCTTGCCATAAGAACCAGCCGTCTGCCCGCGCAGCTAACAGAAGCCACGATCAGACAGATGCGCCGAGCTGCTGGGAGAACCAGCCGTCAGCCCGCGCAGCTAACAGAAGCCGCGATCAGACAGAGATGGACCGGGCTGCGGGGAGGGGATAAGGGTGGAAAACATTGGTTTCCCGAGAGCTCCACAAGTCGATAGTGGGAACCCAGCTCCACCAACATGTTATATTTCAACCCATTTTCTAAAGTGCAGCATTATGTTAAATGCACTGGGTTTTACCCTATTACATTTAAATTTCATGGTTAAACAGTACATGTTAAAATCTAAGCTCAGCTCGGCAGTGACCTAAAATACATAAATATAATTTTACTTACCGAAAAAAATGAAGTGGAGACTCCTTGGACGCTCTATTAGTGCAATTAATGCCTCAGCAAGTCATTTTGTCCAACAATTGCACAAAAATATCCAAAAAGAATACACACACACAGAGACTCAAAATCCTGGAACAGTTTCCAAGCCAGACCGAGGCTCTACTGAGGCTTTTCCACGGAGCTAGCTCTGTGGTCACGTGGGTCTGATGCTCATTAATTATACAGAATTTTAGGCTTTTAATACACTTAAACAGAAGAGTGAGAAAAAAATCACCCCCCTCAGAGTTGTCATGAGTGTAAACTAGATAATTTAAACCAAAAACATGTTTTGGTACCAGGCTGTAAACATGTTTGTTTCTGCTTTGAAATTGGTATTTTTAACATGGGAGTCAATGAGGATTTGCTCGTTTCTGACACCAGCCCCCAGCGGATGAGGGTGGAACTGCAATTTATTTCACTTCCGGGTTTGACTCAGTTTCAGAGCTGCATTGTGGGGGCCTGCCCAGGATGCAGAACAGACACAGACGACATAAGGAATGAGCCATCTACAGGATTCCCCAAGATCCGGAGCGTCGCAAACGTTGGATCATTGTAATAAAACGCGTTAGTGACCGGGCTAAAATGAAACTGTGGGATCCCAAGAGTAAAGGTTTTCGCTTATGCAGCGACCGCTTCATATCAGGTACTTAAACCAACGTTTCCTCAACTGTGTATGGTATTTATTTTAAATGCTTTTATTACGATTCTTAGTGGGCTTCTTAAACTTATTTTGGCGTGGCTTTTTCTGTCTTATTACTCATAACAACAAGTAAACATCACATAAAACGTTGCCTCGTGAGTTCTGCGTGCTGCCATTTCCGTGTTTTATGATCACAGCAATTACCCGGCTAAGCAGTATTTAATTTTTAAGCAATGGTTGATCAATTGTCAGATCACACATAAAAAGCACTTTGGATTGCAATTATCGGTCTCACCGAGTCAGATCTCAGACAGATCCTGAGACGCTCCTGCCTGACATATTTATTTTATTCACGGAAAAAAATCAGACTAGTGATTTCTCTTGGCGTTCAGTTTATACATTCAAACAGCACAGCACTCTATTTAAACTACTTACATGTAAATCTATGTTATTTGTCCATCCATCCATCCATTTTCATCCACTTATCCGTAGTCGGGTTACAGGGGCAGTAGCGTAGAGAGGTCCAGACTTCCCTCTCCCCAGCCACCTGGGCCAGCTCCTCTGGGGAAATCCCAAGGGGTTCCCTGGCCAGGTCCGGTAAGAAGTCCGCTCCGACAGCTTCTGGCGTTTTTAAAAAGTATCCCAGGGGCACAGTAAGGGTCGGAGATGTTTAGTCTATTTAATTTCTGACTATATAAAATGATTTCTTCGGTTTTAAAGTGTGAAGTAAACTCTGACGAAGTAAAATCCTAGCCGATCTCGTTCATGTTCATGTTTACGATCCGTGTTTGTTTACCTTTTTTTCCTGCCAATATGGCGTCTACTAACTGAGAGTCAAGTGGGGTCCGGAGCTCTATGGTCCTATAAAAACAGCTTAAGATGTGCACCCTACTGACATTGGGACAATAGAATGGCTGTGACTGCAAGCATGGAGTGGGCGGAGGAGGAGGCCTATATGCCTCAAGTGGCATATATTTGCCACATGAGGATATTTAAAAGCATGTCATTTTGACATATAAACAGAGGAAAAAATACATCGCAATAAATATCGTTACCACACATGCTTCAGATTTTATTGCAATGTAGATTTGAGGCCATATCGCCCAGCCCTAGTTTGCAGGTATGAATGAGGGAGGTCGCTGCCCCCCCCCCCCCCCTCCCCCCCTGCATGTGACGTACAGGGTTGCGCATTCAGCGACAGACTGATGAAATTTCTTTTTCAGGACCTTTAGCTTTGATGTGACTGGCTTTTTGTCCCGCTTGACGCCCCGCTCAGCTATGTTTTCACCACTCTGTCGTACTGCTGATTGTCTCTCACCGTCCCCGTAAAAAGGCAATTAATCTGTTCGTCCGCTCGCACGGCCAAAAGCTTTCTGGTCTCCGCGCCCGTCCATCCGGCTTTCCTTCTGGCCAGCACTCGGCACGCAGTACACGTCACTAATGCGACCACCCTCTTTTGCGGGGGGGCCTCCCACAGTCGCTCCAAAGGAATTAGCGGGGCTGACACGCGTTTAGCCATCAGAGGTGAGGGGCTGATGCGCATATATTACTACCAAGCAAGGCGGAACAAATGCCGCAATATTTGCGTAATGCCATGCTGGCATGGCGCGCTTATAGACATACCATTGCGGTAATATTACACCAATATGCCGGCATGGTGTGTCCTATAAAAGCACTTTTAGTGAAGTCATGTGCTATTGCGATATGTCGGTATTGCGATATAGCCAAAAACTCTATCATTACCCAATTTTATATCGTTTCTACCTTATATCGTTTATATCGCCCACCCCTACTGCAAACCCATATTTGTTTTAGTAGAAAGAAAAAAGCAAAACCTTCCAACATTTCCAGGAAACAGAAGGTCAGCAGGACAGCTCGTGTTCTGGCGTCGGATTCTTGCTGAGGAGTTTGATTTGATCTGATTTCAGAGTGACTCCGGGGTTCGTGGCTCCTCTGGGCGGGGGCATGGACTTGGCGTTTTGTGGCAACAACAAGGATCTTCAGCCCTACAGAGTAGAGGACGGTGTGCTGAATAATGGGTGCTTCGTGGATGCTCTCAACCTGGTTCCTCATGTTTTCCTGCTCTTCATCACCTTCCCCATCCTCTTCATTGGTAGGTTCCTGTGATTCAAGTTAATTCTTTTTTGTGTGTGTGTGTGTGTGTGTCCTGTCTGGCTGTGAAGCAAACAGAATTGATGTCTGAATGCTGGTGACAAGCCTTACAGATTTATTCTCAGGTGGAGCATCAAAGCGTCTGCTTTTAATGTCACACCTGATACTTAAAACTTTATTGTTATTGTTTTTGAATGCTTTGTAATTCATCACCTTCCCCATCCTCTTCATTGGTAGGTTCCTGTGATTCAAGTTAATGCTTACATTTCTTGCTTTTCATCGCCTTTAAAGGTACAGTAGGTGTTCCTGGTGTAATGATTTGAAGGTGGTTACTTTTAATAAATTGTCAATAGAATATAAAGGTATTCAATAAAATGTAATTTCCATAAAAACATGGATTATCAATATTATTGAGCCTAGGGCTGCACGATATTAGGAAAACCTGCGATATTCGTTAACCCATATTGCAATGCTGATATTACTTGCGATAAAAACTTAACTCAGGAAGAAAAATAATCAAAATCAAAGAAATAAAAAAATCATAAAAAGGAGAAAAGCAAAAGATGTGAGGAAAGGGAAAAAGAAAAGGCAATCAGTGGATCCCAGGAAAAGCAGAATCAGTAAAAAGAGCAGAACAAAGCTAACTCAGGTGTGTGCTAACCATCTAAATTAAGTGCCGTCCGCCTCGGGGGCGGTCCTCTAACCTATGAGAACCCACCCCATTTGGCCAAATGGGTAAAGAGCTCTTTTTGGTTTGTTAACAAAAAACATGATACTTCCATTTGATTGATAGAATGCATTATGTGTAGCCAACATTTGAGCTGACCATTCATTATGATATTTATCTGTTCTTTGCGATATGCATATTGTGCATGCTGATATCGCTATAACGATGTATTTACAATGTATTGTGCAGCCCTAACTGAGCCTTTAATATTCCATTGATGATGAAACTAGGTACTTTGGGTGTTGCCTGCAGGGCCACCGATAGGCCCCTGGGCAGAGAGGTTTAGTAGGCCCCCCACAGAGGGGAAATAAAAAAGTTAAAGTCCCCTCAGTTGTCACACTCACTGGTGTGTGCGCAAAATTTGTTCTCCGCATTTGACCCATCCCCTGGGGGAGCGGTGAGTTGCAGACACAGCCACGCTCGGGAACCAATTTGTGGTTTATAAGTAGGTGTGCATTGGTGGAGGAGGTGCTCTGAATACCTGTTTTTGTCAGTGGTTGTCCTCCCCTTTATTTTTGTCCCCAAAACCCTTATTCATGCATTTGTTACATCACAAATTCAATTCAATTCAATTCAGTTTTATTTATATAGCGCCAAATCACGACAAGAGTCATCTCAAGGCACTTCACATATTAAACATTCCAATCCAGGTCAGTTCATTAAGCCAATCAGAAAAAAATGTTTCCTATATAAGGAACCCAGCAAATTGCATCAAGTCACTGACTAGTGTCAGTGATTTGATGCAATCCTCATACTAAGCAAGCAACAGTGGAGAGGAAAACTCCCTTTTAACAGGAAGAAACCTCCAGAGGATCCTGGCTCAGTATAAGCAGCCATCCTCCACGACTCACTGGGGATGGAGAAGACAGAGCAGACACACACACACACACACGCACGCACGCACGCACACACACACACACACACACACACACACACACACACACACACACACACACACACACACACACCAAGCAATGTGTCTATGGTTACATTGTGATTTCTTAGTAAATATTCTATTTGGCGAGAGATAAACTTTATTGTATTTATCCTAGTGAATCTATTGTTAAATGGGTAAACTAGCAGTATCACATCCAACGTCAAGGAAAGCAAAAAGTATCCTCCAGCAGTCTAAGCCTATAGCAGCATAACTATGGAGATAACTCTGGATAACCTAGCCTTTTTAGATGGAGGCATGCTGGAGGCAGGGCAAGAGCGAGCCGTCTTTACTGACTGTACAGTCCACCTCCCTCTACAACTGTACACTCCACCTCCCTCTACTCCCCCACTTGTCCAGATCTAGGCTAACATCAGATTTTAACCATAGGCCCTATCAAATAAAAATGTTTTAAGCCTAGTCTTAAAAGTAGACAAGGTGTCTGCCTCACGGACTAAGGCTGGGAGCTGGTTCCACAGGAGAGGAGCCTGATAACTAAAAGATCTGCCTCCCATCCTAATTTTAGATATTCTTGGAACCACCAGTAAACCTGCAGTCTGAGAGCGAAGTGCTCAGTTAGGAACGTATGGAACAATCAGATCACTGATGTATGATGGAGCTTGATTATTAAGAGCTTTATATGTGAGAAGAAGGATCTTAAAATCTATTCTGAATTTAACAGGTAGCCAATGTAGGGAAGCTAAGACAGGATAGATATGATCTCTCTTTTTAATTCTCATCAGAACTCTAGCTGCAGCATTTTGGACAAGCTGAAGACTTTTAACTACATTCTGTGGACTTCCTGAGAGTAATGAATTACAGTAATCCAGTTTTGATGTAATAAATGCATGAACTAGTTTTTCAGCATCACTCCTGGAAAGGATGCTTCTAATCTTAGCAATATTCCGAAGGTGGAAAAAGGAAATCCTACAAGCCTGATTAACCTGGGATTTGAATGACATGTCCTGGTCAACAATAACACCAAGGTTCCTTACTTTGTTCTCGGAGACAAATGTAATGCCATTCAGGTCAGATGATTGACTAAGCAATTCCCTTTTCTGGATTTCTGGTCCAAAGATGAGAACTTCTGCCTTGTCTTGACTTAAAAGCAAAAAGTTTAGTCATCCATTTTTTTATGTCCTCAAGACAAGCCTGTAATCTATCTAACCGATTAGGTCAATCAGGGTTAATGGACAGATATAACTGAGTATCGTCAGCATAACAGTGGAAGTTTGTCCCATGCTGTCTAATGATTTTACCAATTGGGAGCATATATATAGTAAAAAGAATCGGACGATATAAAACTACAAACAAGAGTGGTTTTACAGTTTTTCAATCTGGATTAGGAAAACTAAGAATAAGATGTTCAAACGAACTGTAGCTATTAATTCGTAAGGGATTGATTAATAAGTCCGAATGAAAAATGGTTGCTGCTCCTCCTCCTTGCCCTGTACTTCGAGCAATGTGATGATTTAGATCATTAAAAGGAGTTGACTCGTTTAAACTAACATAGTCCTCTTGCTGCAGCCAGGATTCTGTGAGAGAGAGCAAAGGGATTTGATTATAACAAATCAAGTCATTAACTAACAAAGCCTTAGAAAAAATAGATCTAATGTTCAACAACCCACATTTAATTTTTCTAGTTTTCTGCTCAGTTGAATTTGTTCTAATAATTAAGAGATTTCCATGATTTGCTTTATTAAGCCTGATATTTAATTTGTGTGATTTTGGCCGTGGGCAGGACACTGTCTCTATGGGGTAGTGGGTGGGTAACAGTACAGAAGCTGCAGAGGGGTGGGTTAAACTACGACTCTGCTTCCTGGTCTGGGCCCTGGGTTGTCATGGAGGACTAATAAAACTGGCCATGTTCCTAGAAAGAAGAGCTGCTCCATCCAAAGAGGGATGGATGCCGTCTCTTCGCATCAGACCAGGTTTTCCCCAAAAAGTTTACCAATTATCAATGTAGCCCACGTTGTTTTCAGGACACCACCTAGACAACCAGCGGTTGAAGGACAGCATGCGGCTAAACATGTCGTCACTGGTCCGATCAGGCAGGGGGCCAGAGAAAATTACGGAGTCCGACATTGTTTTGGCAAACTTACACACCGATGCAACATTAATTTTAGTGACCTCCGATTGGCGTAACTGCTAGTCATTACCGCCAGCGTGAATAACAATCTTACTGTATTTACGCTTATCCTTAGCCAGCAGTTTCAGATAAGATTTAATGTTGCCCGCTCTGGCCCCAGGTAAACATTTAACTATGGTTGCTGGAGTCTCTAATGAAACGTTTCTGACTATGGAGCTGCCAATGATCAGAGTCGGCTTGTCAGTGGGTGCGTCACTGAGCGGGGAAAATCTATTAGAAACGTGGACGGGTTGGTGGTGGCCCACGGGCTGGGTTCTATGCTTCCTGTGTACCGTCACCCAGCCGGCCTGAGGTCCCGGCTGCTCAGGTTCTGCTGGAGGGTCGCTACGGGGTGGTTCTGAGCTAGTTAGCCCCGCGCTAGCTAAGTAGCTACGGCTGTTTACGGATTTTTCAACAGCGCAGTGCCGTGACTCCAATTCCGACACCCTCGCCTCCAAAGCTACAAAAATGCTACATTTATTACACGTACCGTTATCACTAAAGGAGGCAGAGGAGTAACTAAATATCTGTCACAGTGAGCAAGAGATAGGAGACAGAGAAGCAGAGACAGAAGTAGCCATAGCCGTGCTGAGGCTAAGCTAACTGGACGAGCAAACTGTTCAACACCAAATAAACTGCGTGAAAACTATAATGGATCCCTAAAAGCTAGGTGGAACAACAGAAATTGTGTGTTTTATTGTGCTTATGTGCTACAATAACTCAGAGATATCCTAGTACAGAGAAATTAAATCAGTTTTAGCGAGCCACAAACACCAAACAGCTACACGTAGTGCAACACTGAAAACAGGGTTTCCTTATCGCCAGGGATCAGTGATCCACTAATACAACAACATTTTATATCACAACTCTTCTCAAGACTTATTTTAAAACAGTTTAGAAGTCTACTTTTCATTGTTGCATAATCTGCTTGTTTTATCTGGGGTTTAACAGCATCTGAGTGTTTAGAAAAGCACTTGATTAATAAAATGTGTTATTATTCTATATTACGACCCTAAGACCTGTCCTAATGTGGTGATCTACATGAAGGCTGAACTTCTTCTGCTGCAGCTCTTATGTAAACACCCCAGACAACAATAAGGTGGCATTGCCTCTGGGGTAAATAAACAACAAATAATTAAGTAAAATTATTCTCATATTAAATGAGGTTCTTTTTGCTTCGGACATGAAGGTGTTTCTAATTACCGTTTTACATGTTTCGACCGTCGTCTGCGGTCTTCTTCAGAAGTGTCACAGGTGTTTGTGTGATGCGTCTTTATCAGCTGTTCTTCTGGTGGGCGTGGCCAATTCGGATCTGTCAGATCCGCCGGGTCGGTCACGCCCACCTCCGCTGGCTGATCTTTGGAGAAGGGAATCCCAGGTGCGAGACAGCTGATAGGCCTCCTCGTCTCTGTTCATGTTCCAATGTTCCTGTTTCCTTATTTTTATTGCTTCCCTGACCCAACGTTTGAACCGGTTGTTCTCGGTGTTGATAATTTCTCCTTGATCCCAGTCCATGATGTGGTTATTTAGTTTGCAACGATCTGAGATGGCTGACTTGAGAGTTTGCTCCTCTGCTTTTTTCTTCGAAGAAGACCACAGACGACGGTCGACACATGTAAAAAGGTAATTAGAAACACCTTCATGTCAGAAGCAAAAAGATCCTCGTTTTAATATTTACAAAGAGGACATAATGAACATTGTAAAGAACTTACAAGAAAGTTTTGGAAAAAGTTTGAACCGGTTGTTCTCCGTGTTGATAATTTTTCCTTGATCCCAGTCCAGGGTAGGAACGTAGATTGACCGGTAAATCGAGAGCTTCGCCTTCTGACTCAGCTCTCTCTTCACCACGACAGACCGGTACAACGCCCGCATCACTGCAGATGCAGCACCAATCCGCCTATCGATCTCATGCTCCAGTTTTCCCTCACTTGTGAACAAAACCCCTGACTTCACTTGAGGCAGGATCTCATCCCTGACCTGGAGAAGGCATTCTACCCTTTTCGAATCAACACCAGGGTCTCAGATTTAGAGGAGCTGATTCTCGTACCAGCTGCTTCACACTTGGCTGCGAACCGCTCCAGCGAAAGCTGGAGATCACGTTCTGATGAAGCCAACAGGACCACATCATCAGCAAAAAGCAGAGACCTGATCCTCAGGCCACCAAAACAGATGCCCTCCACACCTTGGCTGCGCCTAGAAATCCTGTCTATAAAGGTTATGAACAGAATCGGTGACAAAGAGCAGCCTTGGCGGAGTCCAACTCTCACTGGGAACGAGCCCGACTTACTGCCGGCAATGTGGACCAAGCTCTGACACCAGTCATACATGGACCTAACAGCCCGTATCAGAGGGCCTGGTACCCCATACTCCTGGAGTACACCCCACAGGGTCCCTGCTCCACATCCACAATGCACATATAGATTTGTTGGGCAAACTCCCACGCACCCTCCAGGATACCCCTAAGGGTATAGAGCTGGTCCAGTGTTCCACGGCCAGGACAAAAACCACATTGCTCCTCCTGAATCTGAGGTTCGACTATCCGTTGGGCCCTCCTCTCCAGAACCCCTGAATAGACCTTAGCAGGAAGGCTCAGGAGTGTGATTCCCCTTTAGTTGGAACACACCCTGCTGTCCCCCTTTTTAAATAAGGGAACCACCATCCCGGTCTGCCAGTCCAGTGGGACTTCCCCGATGTCCACTCGATATTGCAGAGCCGCGTCAGCAAACACAGCCCCACAACATCCAAAGCCTTAAGGAACTCTGGGCGGATCTCATCCACCCCTGGAGCCAAGTTGCCACAGAGGAGCTTTTTAACCACCTCAGTGACCTCAGCACCAGAGATTTGAGATCCCAACTCAAAGTCCCCAGACTCTGCTTCCTCACTGGAAGATGTGTCGGTGGGATTTAGGAGGTCTTCGAAGTATTCTGCCCACCGATCCACAACATTCTGAGTTGAGGTCAGCAGCACACCGTCTCCACTATAGATAGTGTTGGTAGCGCCCTGCATTCACCCTGAGGCACCGGATGGTGGACCAGAATCTCCTCAAAGCCATAAGGAAGTCTTGCTCCATGGTCTTACTGAACTCCGCCATGCCTGGGTTTTTGCCTCCGCGACCACCCGAGCCGCATTACACTTGGACTTCAGCTGTCTCTGGAGTCCCACAGGCCAAAAGACCTGATAGGACCCTTTCAGCTTGACAGCATCCCTAACCGCCGGTGTACACCAGCGGGTTCGGGGGTTGCCGCCATAACAGGCACCAACGACCCCATGGCCACAGCTCCGGTTGGCCGCCTCAACAATGGAGGCACAAAACAGGGCCCATTCGTACTCAGTGTCCCCCGCCTCTTCCAGAACATTTTGGAAGTTCTGTCAGAGGTGGGAATTGAAGCTCCTTCTGACAGGAGACTCTGCCAGACGTTCCCAGCAGACCCTCGAAATAAGTTTGGGCCTGCTAGGTCTGACCCGCACCCTCCCCCACCATTGGAGCCAACTCACCACCAGGTAGTGGTCAGTTAACAGCTCTGCCCCTCTCTTCACCATAGTGTCAAAGACATGTGGCTGCAGATCAGATGAAATGACAACAAAGTCGATCATCGAGCTGCAGCCCGAGGTATCCTGAAGCCAAGAGCACATATGGACATCTTTATGTCTGAACATGGTGTTCATTATAGACAATCCATGACTAGCTCAGCGCCTTGGGCTACACGACAGGGTTGCGAAAGGTGCTTTATAAATAAAGCTTTGATTGATTGATTGATTGATTGATTGATTGAGGACAGAAGTCCAATCACAAAACACCGCTCGGATTCTGATCTGGGGGCCCGTTCCTCCCAACCATACCTCTCCAGGTCTCACTGTCGTTGCCCAGCAGAATGAGGGAGTCACTAAGTAGTAATTGTTGAGTCAAAAAAGATGGTTCATATGCCGCAAAAATTATTCCACTGAAAAATCTGGTCTGATTCCCCATAGGATGGTTATTTAGCATGAGCTGTGAGCTTTTGCTGAACTCTGACCTTTCTTCAAGACATAAAATATATAAGGGAATGATGTGAGAAGTAAGAAACAGAGACCCTTTCATTGAAAGAAGGAATGTTAATTTATTGTATTTTGAGGTTGGTTCTGGTTCTGAGTTTTCTTCGTTTCTTTGGAGAAGACGGGTCCCTGTTGGTGGTTTTTTGTGAACGCTGTAGTTTTTGGGATTGTTCCAATCATGAACCCCAATCTTTCTCCCTCAGGACACAATAAACAGTGCTCTGGACTTTTAGTTCTTTGTCGTTTCTGAACTTTAAAATGTTTTTCTCTCTTTAGTAAAAGAGAAACAATAAAAGCACAAAGAAAACAGCAAAACATCACAAACTGGAGTATATTTTATATTATTCTACTAAATAAATGCATAAAATAAACTATTGTTATGAGAATGCATTTGTCAAAGTATTAAATGTGTTTTCTGGTAAACCAAATATCTGTAGTTTTATTGCAGCAACAGTCATGTTTAACCCTTACCTCACATTAGAGCATTTTTTTGTGCTCTAATGACTTTAACGTTAGAAAATTTAAACGTTGGGTAAGGGTTAAACTTTTCATGACTCATCGTCTCCTACACGGATGCAAAATATTCTCCCTGTTGGTTTTATCTTCCAGGTTGGGGAAGTCAGAGCTCCAAGGTACAAATCCATCACAACACATGGCTTCATTTTCCCGGCCATAACATGAGGTGGATCCTCACATTCCTGCTGCTTTTCGTCCACGTATGTGAGTTTGCAGAAGGAATCGTCTCTAGCAAGTGAGTCCTCTGAATGATGCTACCCATGGCTAGATAACGTAGGAAAACTGGATTTCTCTGAGAATATTAGTGATGTTTTCTTTTTTTCCTGCAGGGTTATGGGCAACAACCACCTCCACTTGTTCATGCCAGCGTTCATGGGCTTCATAGCAGCTACGACATCAGTGGTTTATTACCACAACATAGAGACGTCCAACTTCCCCAAACTGCTGCTGGGTAAGAGGAAAGCATCACAAGCGTCCATCCTCTTCTTGTGGATGTTTAATATAATGGTCAAATGCTAATTTCCATCCATCCATCCATTTTCATTTGCTTATCCGGAGTCGGGTCGCAGGGGCAGTAGCCTAAGGCGAGAGGCCCAGACTTCCCTCTCCCCAGCCACTTGGGCCAGCTCCTCCGGGGGAATCCCAAGGCGTTCCCTGGCCAGGTGAGAGACATAGTCCCTCCACCATGTCCTGGGTCTACCTTTAGGTCTCCTCCCTGTTGGATGTGCCCGGAAAAACCTCGCCAGGGAGGCGTCCAGGAGGCATCCTGACCAGATGCCCGAGCCACCTCAGCTCGCTCCTCTCAATGTGGAGGAGCAGCGGGTCTACTCCGAGCCCCTCCTGAATGACCGAGCTTCTCACCCTATTTCTAAGGGAGAGCCCAGCCACTCTTCGGAGAAAACTCATTTCGGCCGCTTGTATCCACGATCTTGTTCCTTCGGTCACTACCCAAAGCTCATGACCATAGGTGAGGGTAGGAACGTAGATCAACCGGTAAATCGAGAGCTTCGTCTTCTGACTCAGCTCTCTCTTCACCATGACAGAAAGGTACAACGCCCGCATCACTGCAGATGCAGCACCAATCTACCTATCGATCTCACGCTCCAGCTTTCCCTCACTCGTGAACAAGACCCCAAGATACTTAAACTCCTCCACTTGGGGTAGGACCTCATCCCTGACCCGGAGAAGGCATTCTACCCTTTTCCGAATCAAGACCATGGTCTCAGATTCAGAGGAGCTGATTGTCATCCCAGCTGCTTCACACTCAGCTGCGAACCGCTCCAGCGAAAGCTGAAGATCACCTTCGGATGAAGCCAACAGGACCACATCATCAGCAAAAAGCAGAGACCTGATCCTCAGGCCACCAAAACAGATGCCCTCCACACCTTGGCTTTGATAAGAAAGACAGACGCAACAACCTTGTCATCCCCTATGTAGCCGGTGTATCAGAGAAACTCGGGAGTGTTTTCTCCAAACACAACATACCAGTGTACTTCAGACCCAGCAACACACTCAGACAGAAACTGGTGCACCCGAAAGACAAAACTCCTAAACACAAACTGAACAATGTGGTGTATGCTGTACAGTGCAGCGAGGAATGCCCAGACCTCTACATCGGAGAAACCAAACAGCCACTTCACAAGCGCATGGCACAACATAGAAGAGCCACCTCCACGGGACAGGACTCAGCAGTCCATTTGCATCTAAAGGACAAAGGTCACTCTTTCGAGGATGCCAACATTCACATTTTGGACAGAGAGGACAGATGGTTTGAAAGAGGAGTAAAGGAAGCCATTTATGTCCACTGTGAGCAACCATCTTTGAACAGAGGCGGTGGTTTACGACACCAATTGTCTGCCATCTATGATGCAGTTTTGATATCCCTTCCCAGATGCCTCAACGCCCACCCATATCCTGGGCCATCTGATCTCAGGAATTCACATTCACATAGGGTGGGGCCAGGTTTCACAATGAGCTCACCCGAAACTCTGGCTGAATAGGACCCACACCCACCCTCGCACCTTGGCTCATAGAAGATCATCAGGCAGTCTTTTGTTCCCTCTTCGGGGGGAAACACCCACGGTGTTTAAATCTTGGACTCTCCACCATTTGACCTCAGAACTGAAGAAGCCTCTCGGATGAGAGGTGAAACGTCTTCAAACAACTCAAAGAAGTCCAGACGCGTTTCTTTCAAGGTCATTAGTCTATAAAGGTTATGAACAGAATCTGTGACAAAGGGCACTCTTGGCAGAGTCCAACTCTCACTGGGAACGAGCCCGACTTACTGCCGGCAATGCAGACCAAGCTCCAACACCGGTCATACAGGGACCTATCAGCCCGTATCAGAGGGCCTGGTACCCCATACTCCCGGAGTGCTCCCCACAGGGCCCCCTGAGGGACGCAGTCAAACGCCTTCTCCAAATCCACAAAACACATGTAGACTGGTTGGGCAAACTCCCACACACCCTCCAGGATCCCCCTAAGGGTATAGAGCTGGTCCAGTGTTCCACGGCCAGGACAAAAACCACATTGCTCCTCCTGAATCTGAGGTTCAACAATCCGACGGGCTCTCCTCTCCAGAACCCCTGAATAGACCTTACCAGGAAGGCTCAGGAGTGTGATCCCCCTGAAGTTGGAACACACCCTGCGCTCCCCCTTTTTAAATAAGGGGACCACTACCCTGGTCTGCCAGTCCAGTGGGACTGCCCCCGATGTCCATGCGATATTGCAGAGCCGCGTCAGCAAACACAGCCCCACAACATCCAGAGCCTTAAGGAACTTCGGGCGGATCTCATCCACCCCTGGAGCCTTGCCACAGAGGAGCTTTTTAACCACCTCAGTGACCTCAGCACCAGAGATTTGAGATCCCAACCCAAAGTCCTCAGACTCTGCTTCCTCACTGGAAGATGTGTCGGTGGGTTTGAGGAGGTCTTTGAAGTATTCTGCCCACCGATCCACAACGTTCTGAGTAGAGGTCAGCAGCACACCGTCCCCACTATAGATAGTGTTGGTAGCGCACTGCTTTACCCCCTGAGGCGCTGGATGGTGGTCCAGAATCTCCTCTCGGCTGTACAGAAGTCTTGCTCCATGGTCTCACCGAACTCCTCCCATGCCCGGATTTTTGCTTTGGCGACCACCCGAGCTGCGTTCCGTTTGGACTGCCGGTAACCGTCAACTGCCTCTGGAGTCCCAAAGGCCAAAAAGACCTGATAGGACTCTTTCTTCAGCTTGACAGCATCTCTGATCGCCGCTGTCCACCAGCGGGTTCGGGGGTTGCCACCACGACAGGCACCGATGATCCTGCGACCACAGCTCCGGTCGGCTGACTTAACAATGGAGGCACGGGACAGAGTCCATTCAGACTCAATGTCCCCCGCCTCCCCCGGAACATTTTGGAAGTTCTGTCGGAGGTGGGAATTGAAGCTCCTTCGGACAGGAGACTCCGCCAGACGTTCCAAACAGACCCTCGTGATACGTTTGGGCCTGCCTGGTCTGACCGGCGTCCTCCCCCACTATCTGAGCCAACTCACCACCAGGTAGTGGTCAGTTGACAGCCCCGCCCCTCTCTTCACCCAAGTGTCCAAGACATGCGGCCGCAGGTCAGATGAAACAGCAACAAAGTTGATCATCAAGCTGCGGCCTAAGGTATCCTGGTGCCAAGAGCACATATGGACACCTTTATGTCTGAACATGGTGTTCATTATGGACAATCCATGACTGGCACAGAAGTCCAATAACAAAACACCACTCGAATTCAGATCATGGGGGTCGTTCCTCCCAACCACACCTCTCCAGGTCTCACTGTTGTTGCCCACGTGAGCGTTAAACTCCATCAGTAGAACAAGGGAGTCACCGGAAGGAGCGCTTTCCAGCACCCCCTCCAAGGTCTCCAAAAAGGGTGGGCAGTCTGAGCTGTAGTTTGGTGCATAAGCACAGACCACAGTCAGAACCCGTCCCCCACACGTGGGCGGAGGGAGGCTACCCTTTCATTCCCTGGGGTTAAACTCCAACGTACAGGCACCAAGATGGGGGGCAACTAATATGCCCACCCCTTTTTGGTGCCTCTCAGTGGAGCAACTCCAGATTGGTAGAAAGTCCAACCCCTCTCAAGGAAACTGGTTCCAGAGCCATGCGTTGAGGTGAGTCAGACTATATCTAGTCGGAACCTCTCAACCTCGCACACCAACTCAGGCTCCTTCCCCACCAGAGAGGTGACATTTCATGTGCCAAGAACCAGCTTCTGTAGCCGAGGATCAGACCGCCAAGATCCCCGCCCTCGCCTACCACCCGTCACACACTGCACCCGACCCCTTTGGCCCCTCCCACGAGTGGTGAGCCCATGGGAAGGGGGACCCACGTTTCCTCTTCGAGCTGTGCTGGCCGGGCTCCATGGGTGAAAGCCTGGCCACCAGGCGCTCGCCAACGTGCCCCACCTCCAGGTCTGGCTCCAGAGGGGGGCCCCGGTGACCCATATCTGATTTTGTTACGACACACAGATCCGAATTTTAAAAATGCGATCGGTGTCACTTGAATATGTGGTACTGATGTGACATATATATGTTTTTGAAAGCAAGTGCAGTCTGAACGGTCATGCCGTGGTAAATCCGTCTCCTGTGTCACTGAGTCAGTGGAGGTGAGCGTCGTGTGTGGATGTTCCTGAAGAGAAGCGCTGACAGAAGGGTTCAGGAGTCTGTCTGGATATCCTGTTTTAAGTTAAGGAATTAAAAATACAGGAAATAATGTGAACGTGACCGGGAGGGTCTACTGGAGCGAAGCGTCTCACTGGTCTCACCGGTGAAGGGAGGAGGGGGATTCTCCGTGAATGAATTAATATCGGAACATTTTCGGTGAATAATAATTCAGGGAGACGGAGGGAACAAGGAGTAAAAAAATAGTTTGCCGTTTTTAAAACGGTTTCCAGCCCAAAAACGGAAGAATTAACAGGTGTGAAAGTTTTCACTGACAGTTTATCCACAGGATCAGGATGACAACACAACTCTGCTGCTCCTGGTGTCGGCTCCAGTGAGTGTGACTTCTTGTCTTCTGCACATGCGGGTCGCTTTAGTGCCACAGAGCGTTCACACTGGAGAGAGTTAGATGTCACATGTCAGTCACAGTGTGAACAGCCACACAAAAAAAATCTGATTTACTCCAAAAATCGGAGTTGAGCATCAAGGCCTGCAGTGTGAACGTAGCCGTAGTAACCTCACCTGGATAAAGAACTTAATGGGACTCGTTGGAGGAGGAGGTGTCTGTTCTAAATAAACTCCAGAGTCGTTTTTATAGTGCGAACATGATCCGACACACCAAACCACTCATACTCTGCTGGCCTGAACCAAACACAGAATAGGATGCTGTGGACCGACTGCTGAAATTTCGCTTCGATGAGCATGTGGCACAAACGCACGGGTACTTTGGGGCTAGTCGCGACATCTGGGGAGGGCTGGCAGCATATTTTGCACCAGAAAAGTGCGTTGTCGTCTCTTTTAATAACAGGCTCCTCTGCTGTCCCCGCGGGCGTGCATCTTTCGCTGTCTTCATTTGTTTGTACAAAATACCTCTCCTTTTAATGTTGGCAAAAGGAGATCTGAGGCACTCAGGAGGTACAAAAATAAAAAGCCTTTATTAGTACATGGCTTAAATTGTTAAAAACATCAATGCCAACGCGTTTCAGCCCACAGGGCCTTCGTCAGGGCTCAAAATGTTTGTATACTCACTCACCCCCATGTTAAAAAGGCCAATCAATGACACCTGCCAAAGCTAGGCAGGTAGACTGCATTCTGATTGGATGGCCAGTACAACACAAACACTTTTGCTTCGAACCAGAAATACTCCCAAACTGCGGAAGTCGAGTTGTTTTTGGACACCAAGTCAGCTGGTGCGCGAGCTGCCCCATGATGACATCACGTTCATAAACGTTACGGAACATCTCTAAAATTTGGACAAATCATTTAAAACTATTTATGTAAAACCTAAAATTCAACCACACGTCAGTTTTTTTTAACATTAAATTACTTTCATTTATATTTTTTATTACAAATTAAAATTTTCAACGAGTTTATTTCTCTGTTAAACTGTTAAAATGGTCTCTCCAAGCAGCAGCAACAAGCTTTTCACACCAGACTCTGACTTTCTTCTCAGTACTTTTCATTTACTGGGTTCTGGCGTTCATCACAAAGTCCATAAAGCTGTGGAAGTTTGCCGAGTTCAGTGTTGGACCGCAGCACCTGAGGTTCTGCATCACGGCTCTGTTGGTGGTCCTGTATGGACTTCTGATGGCCGTGGAGATCAACGTCATCCGAGTCAGGGTTCGTCATCGTCCCGTATCCTTCCACTGGTTTGATCCTCTTTTATTCAGATTGTTTCTGTGTCTACGTAGAAATACGTGTTCTTCACCAGCCCTCAGAAGGTTAAACCACCTGAGGATTTACAGGATTTGGGGGTTCGCTTTCTGCAGCCATTTGTTAACCTGCTCTCTAAGGTAAATGCTAAACTTAATTTTCTCAAAAATAATTTTAAATACAGGTAGGGCTGGGCGATATATCGATATTTAAAAAATATCGGTATAATTTTTAAACAAGATGACTTTATATCTTTATATCGATATAACTGGTCAAACTGCTATGCTAGCGATTAGCCGGTATGCTAGCGACATGTAGCTCCGTCTCTAAGCGGTTATTTATTACATGTATTCTCACAAGTTTGTTCAATCTGAGAGCCTCTGGGTAAATGCTGCTCTAAACCTTGCATTTGGCGTCCTGGTTTTTTATTATTTGGGGACGTTCAATGCCAATGGAGTTCTGTTTTTCCACCCTGCTTGTGCGGCGCCGGAGAGGGGAGGCAAACCCCTCCCTCCCCTGTTTAATGAGTAAACATCTATGGATAGCCGGAGTGGCCAAATTATCTCAAACATATTGTGAGGGTTTCAATAGTAAACTATTGGGTTAAAGTTTTATTTTGAAGGCGAGCTCAGCGGGTGAGAAATGTTCCAGTTTTTTCCGCTTTAGTTTGCTATGCTAGTAAATACTCCGTTACGAGCGATTCTGACATTTATACACCTCTAGCTCTCAACTGTGTGTGTGTGTGTGTGTTAGCAGACAGCTGTACCATTGTTTATAAAGCTCAGACTGTAAAACTTTAAGTAAGTAAAACTTTATTTGTATAGCACTTTTCACAGATAAAATCACAAAGTGCTTCACAACATACATAAAAAGGCAAAACAGGACAGGAGCACAAGGTCAACTTACATAGAAGCTTGTCTAACTAAAAGTGTCTTCAGCTGCTTTTTAAAAGAATCAACAGAGTCGGCCACACGAAGAAACAAGAGCAGGGCGTTCCAAAGTCTGGGAGCTACAGCTTGAAAGGACAGGTCCCCTCTAGTTTTAAATCTGGTCTTAGGGACCTTCAGTAGGTTTTGACCCGAGGACCGTAGAGTGCAGCCAGAAGAGTGAGGGATTAAAAGGTCTGAAAAATATTGTGGAGCTTGTCCATTAAGAGCTCTAAAAGTCTAAAATTTTAAAATCAATTCTAAGCTTGACCGGTGGCCAAGGTAAAAAAGATAAAACTGGTGTTATGTGAGCCCTTCTATTGGTTCCTGTAAAAAGCCTTGCTGCAGCGTTCTGTACCAACTGGAGACGACTGACATCTGATTTGTTAAAACAAGTAAAGATGGAATTACAATAATATAAACGAGAGGAAATAAAAGCATGGATAATCATCTCCAAGTCCGATTTTGAAGTAAAAGCTCTCAATTTGGAAATGTTTCGCAGATGATAAAAGCAGTTCTTTACTAAATGTTTTGAGTGGCAGCTCAAAGACATGGACTGGTCAAAAAGAACACCAAGGTTTCTGAGACTGTTCTGGACTGAGGAGCTCAGGGAACCAAGGTGTTGTTTGATTAAAAGCACTTTCTGTTCAGGAGCAATGATCAGTGTTTCAGTCTTGCTTGAGTTCAACTGAAGACAGTTACTGGCTAGCCAGTCCTTAATAAACTCAATGCAATCAAGTAGGTCAGCTAGCTTGTTAAACTGTGTCCTTGAAAGAGCAGTACAGTTGAATGTCATCCGCATATAAATGGTAGGACACATTTTTAAAGCTTTTGATAATCTCCCCAAGAGGGCAAATATATAAAAGAAACAAAATTGGGCCAAGGACCGAGCCCTGGGGAACACCGTGAAGCAAAGATGTGACTTCAGACCTAATCTTGTTTACACATACAGAGAATGTTCTGTTATTTAAATAGGAGGAAAACCACTTCAGAACCGTACCAGAAAATCCTAAGTCATTGTGAAGTCGATGTAACAGAATTTTATGGTCAACGGTGTCAAAAGCTGAAGACAATTCCAATAAAACCAGTACAGTATATTGGCCGGAGTCTGCCGCCATCAGTACATCATTAGATACCTTTAACAGAGCTGTTTCAGGCCTGATTGGAACTTATCTAAAACATTATTAAGGTCCAGAAAAGTAGTCAGCTGCCCTGCCACCAACTTCTCCAGAACTTTAGCCAAAAAAGGGAGTTTTGAAATTGGCCTCTAGTTATTGGGTTCAGATGGGTCCAAATTGGGCTTTTTAAAAATAAGGCTTAAGGCTGCTTGTTTGAAGTAGCTTGGAACTGACCCAGTAGAAGGCGAAATGTTAAAAAGTTTGGCGATGTGTGGGCCAACAACATCCCAAACTTTCAAGAGCAGTGATGAGGGGACTACATCTAATGGGCAGGAAGAAGGCCTCATCTTTTCCAGAGCAGCTTTTATGTCCTCCACAGTAGCAGGGATAGATGAGGACCACAAGCATTCTGAGTGACCAATATTAGAATTTAAGACAGGGGATGGATTAATACTAGCCCTAATGTCATCAACTTTTTTTTTATACTAAAAAGTTTAAAAATCTGTTGCAGTCCCCAGTAGAAAATACAGGTACCATGGAAGCTGTCGGTGAAACAATTTTACTGATGGTGTCAAACAAGAATTTAGGGGTTTTCCTGTTCATGTTCACAAGGTTAAACTGGCAGAGAATAGGCACTAAGATTGCAGTTAGACAAGAATCAACACATTTTTATGCATTTAATTACTGATTTATGTATATAATTTCTCAAGACAGCTTGAAGTGAGTTCACTTGTAAATATTTTACAGGAGGAAAATTACCAAGATATATATCGTACGGAGTTCAGCTAAAAGATATCGAGATATAAGTTTGTGTCCATATCGCCCAGCCCTAAATACAGGCGACAAAATGTGCCAAGTAGACTCCAGAGCACAGCTGACAACATGAGACTCTGAGAGCGTCCTAGTTTATTTTTATCTGGTGGAGATGATGTTGGAGCTGCAGATCTCAGCAAACAAGAACTCTTTGGTACGTTTCTAGGCGACATATTGGTGGATGAATCCTCTCATCATCGGAGCTCATAAGAGGCCAATTGAGCTGAAGAAGATTGGCAAGCTGCCCAAAGCCATGAGAGCCCTCACCAACTACCTGCGACTCAAAGATGCTTACGAGGACCAAAGGGTGAGCTGAGGAGAGCGTTTGATCTCATCGTAAGTGTCTCAGAATTTTTGTTTGTTTTTTCCATCCACTTGTCTCTGCGCAGACAGCTGAGGACCCGGATCAAGCGCCGTCGATCTGGCGCTCCATGTATCGAGCGTTTGGCCGACCCATCCTGCTCAGCAGCACCTTCCGTTACCTGGCAGACCTGCTGGGCTTTGCCGGGCCGCTCTGCATCTCTGGTATCGTTAAATACCTGGAAGAAAAAGACAAAGATGCTTCAGCGGACAAGATAAAAGTGAGTTTGTTGGTCTTAATTCATCTGCGAGACCCTTTTGTAGCTTTGAAAATAAGAATCAGGCAATGGATGACTTTCTGATGGAATATTTTACTCACTAAAGCAAAAAGGTTTGTTTATGACGTTAAACAATTGTGAATGCTTGGGTACCCCAAACATTAGATGAGACCACAACGAGTTCATTTGCGTCCAACATTGCAGCAGGATCTTGCACAGGTACAAGAAGATGTTGATACCAAAACGTGACATCGTGCAGAACTAATGCCACTTACGCACTAGCGTTGGCTTCGCTCCGCTCCGCCCAGCCCAGCCTGGCCGTGTTCGTTCCACTCTGCCTTAGGAATGCGGACATGATTGAGCACATGGGCTGACTCTGATATTGCATCCTGTTTTGTTGTGTCTGGCAGCACTGTGTGTGTGCGCGCACACACATCTATACCGTTGGAAAGAATTGAGCAGTTTCGTTATTGAAATAATGTTTCTTAAGACGTAAGTTTGTGTTTATAATGGTATTTGTAAAATAAAACACTATATTTTATTCATAATGTTGAACTCCTCTTTGAGCACGTCCCTTGAAGGATCATAGGTATTAGCAACACCTGTGAAATTGTATTTGCAGGAAAGAAGTGTGTCCCGTTTATTGAAGTATTTTGTGTTTAGAGTTTTTGACGTCTTGTCCATGCGTAGTTCAGGTACGCTCATAGCTGCTAGCCAAAACTCTGGAGTTAAAAGTTTTCTGGCTTTACTAAAATACCTGTCTGTTCTTATTTGATTGATGGTAGTTTTACTTTCTATTAGACTCCACATGTAATCATTTGGCACGTTTCTAATTCATAATTTGTAATAATGTAATCGGCGATATTAGCATTAGCATTCCTATGGGTTTTTCCATGTATATTAGCATTGCGCTAACCACTTGCTGCCAAATTGCAGCCTTTGCGATTAGAAAATCTCCTTTCATCACATCGCAATTTAATTGCACATGCAGTTAATCGTTCAGCCCTAATATACATGCAGCTCTATGCTAAAAGTGTATTTTCAAAGAGGTAATGATGGATTTCTTTGTAAAAGTTGTCAATCTTTCCATCAGATAGATTTGCCTGGACCAACGTAACATGATTGCGTAATTCCGTAAGGTTCATGTTCAGCCAATCAACTACTTTGACGTCATCGGCAGTCGACGGACCCCCAGCCAATTTTGCACCCGAGCAGATCTTGTACCGACACCGGCTCATCCCTAGCTGTAACCACCCTGCCCTGCCTCCTCCTCCTTGCTGCCTGCTGGCTGTGGTCACAAGCAACAACAGAGTAGTTCCCGCTGCTTCTTCGGGAAACAGCGCAAAAAAAAAAAAAATCTATAAAAAGGGATCTTGCAGGCGTGGCGCTGGGATTTCAGCCGTGGCGGGCTGCCACGGCTATGCCTATGTAAAGGAAACACTGATATCGGGATTTCGGTATCGTTCAATACTGAAGGCTGCAATATCGGTACCGTATCAGAGTGGAAAAATTTGTATCGGGACATCCCTAATTAAAACTGTCAAATTGGAACATAAACTGCTGTGTATTTAAATACACCCGTTTTAAGGGTCAAATAGATTTTGAGGCTCTACACAAATAATATTTAATAGAATCAATGATTTAAAAAGTCTGCTTCATTCGTAAAGGTAAATATTTCACTTCAGCAATACTGATCTCCGCTGACCTGTATGATTTAAAACCTTTGCACAGTTGAATTAACGTTTTCTGAGAGTAATTGGAGCAGAAAAAAACTTCAGATTAGAATCAGATTAGTGAGAATGAAGGGTCACAAACCTGCTCCTGGTGGAGGACTCGCTCTCAGCATCTCTAACGAAAGCACCCCTCTAGCAGGAGGATATTAAATATTAATTATTAAGTTAAATATCGGGATGATGCTGATATGAATGTCGTGTACATCTGTGGGAACCCCCAAAAAAAGACCAGAATTTGGGATGAATCAGACATTTTTGCTAGGAGTTATTATGATGTTGTTCTATTTAACTTTTAAAATGTGCTCTAGGGTTCAGCTGTTTATAAGCACTGACATTAGTTGACTATAACTCATGAGTGGTTAAACCTTTGGCGGGTAATAAACAAAAACACAGGATGATATTTGTCGCGACGGCACCTCAAAGAGGCTCATTCAGACAGAGAGGAACCAGATGCTCCAGCAGAACCTTGGACCTGCTGGCAGTGCTCAAAGTTGTCAGCTCCTCTTGAGTTGATGCCAGCCTCCTCCAAAGGTCTCCTGGCAGAAGCTTCAGGAGCGTTTGGCTGGACAGAATTACAGCTGCGCTGCTGTCAGGTGTCTAAGTGGGTTTAATGGGCCGCTGAGATACAGAGCAGAATGGGGCTGCATTTCTCAGTGACGTGGAAAATTCCCCACTCTCTGTTGGGTTGACGCTGGCATGAGGAACTGCTGAACATCACTTTCAGATTTTTTTGATCTGCAGTTACATTATGACGCAGCACCACTAAAGTGTGATACACACTGTGATTCTGACATTTATAAAAGCAACAAGACAGACTTAAGGAAATAAATGATGATGTCTGGTTGCAGCTATGAAGTGTTCAGATGTTCATGTTGATGGTATGTTAAAGAAACTTTTATCTAAATTTGGTTTCTTATGTAGTCTGAAAAACATGGTTTTCGTCTGCAGCCAGAAACAAAATCCTGCTTAGTGAAAATATTAGTGTGTTCATGCTTTTTCTTGTTTAATGCCACTGGCCCTTCTAGGCAACCTGCCTGTTTTTATCATATTAGACTAGCACCAGATATTAGACTAGACCAGATATTAGACTAGACCAGGTATTAGACTAGCACCACATATTAGACTAGCACCAGATATTAGACTAGACCAGGTATTAGACTAGCACCACATATTAGACTAGCACCAGATATTTGACTAGACCAGGTATTAGACTAGCACCACATATTAGACTAGCACCAGATATTAGACTAGACCAGATATTAGACTAGACCAGGTATTAGACTAGCACCACATATTAGACTAGCACCAGATATTAGACTAGACCAGGTATTAGACTAGCACCACATATTAGACTAGCACCAGATATTAGACTAGACCAGATATTAGACTAGACCAGGTATTAGACTAGCACCACATGTTAGACTAGCACCACATATTAGACTAGCACCAGATATTAGACTAGACCAGATATTAGACTAGCACCGCATATTAGACTAGCACCGCATATTAGACTAGCACCGCATATTAGACTAGCACCACATATTAGACTAGACCAGATATTAGACTAGACCAGGTATTAGACTAGCACCACATGTTAGACTAGCACCACATATTAGACTAGCACCAGATATTAGACTAGACCAGGTATTAGACTAGCACCACATATTAGACTATCACCACATATTAGACTAGCACCAGATATTAGACTAGACCAGATATTAGACTAGCACCGCATATTAGACTAGCACCACATATTAGACTAGCACCAGATATTAGACCAGACCAGATATTAGACTAGACCAGACAGTTGACTAGCACCACATATTAGACTAGCACCAGATATTAGACTAGACCAGATATTAGACTAGACCAGACAGTTGACTAGCACCACATATTAGACTAGCACCAGATATTAGACTAGACCAGATATTAGACTAGACCAGATATTAGACTAGCACCAGATATTAGACTAGACCAGATATTAGACTAGACCAGATATTAGCCTAGACCACATATTAGACTAGCACCAGATATTAGACTAGACCCGATATTAGACTAGCACCAGATATTAGATTAGCACCACATATTAGACTAGCACCACATATTAGACTAGCACCACATATTAGACTAGCACCAGGTATTAGACTAGACCAGATATTAGACTAGCACCACACATTAGACTAGCACCACATATTAAACTAGCACCACATATTAGACTAGCACCACATATTAGACTAACACTAGATATTAGACTAGCACCAGATATTAGACTAGATCAGATATTAGACTAGCACCTCATATTAGACTAGCACCAGATATTAGACTATGATTCATGATGGCGCCTGTGTTAGGCTCGGCCTCTGCTCTGTGTGCTTCGTCACCACTTTCTCGCGTGATGGTGATCTGTTTGATTATATTTTTTGCCTTATCAAGTTTGTCAACAAACTGTGTCTCAGCTGTCAGTCAATACCATTATGATCGGCACACGCTTTTTCGCATTAAGGAGCCTATGCAGATTGCTTGTGTTACCTGGGACAGGTACGCCAAATTTTTCTCTCCAACTTTTGTTTGTGCCACGTCAGCACTGGAATGCTTGCGGCCCTCAAGCCGCCGAGGAGGGAGAAGGAAGCGTGGATCTAGAGCTGAAATCCAGTCCAGGCTAAGAATGGTAAATGGTCAAGGCCTGTATTTGATATAGCGCCTTCTAGAGTCCTGGAACCCCCCAAGGCGCTTTACAACACAATCAGTCATTCACCCATTCACACACACATTCACACACTGGTGGGGATGAGCTACGATGTAGCCACAGCTGCCCTGGGGCGCACTGACAGAGGCGAGGCTGCCGAGCACTGGCGCCACCGGTCCCTTCGACCACCACCAGCAGGCAACGTGGGTTGAGTGTCTTGCCCAAGGACACAACGACAGCGACAGAGAGCGGGGCTCGAACCTGCAACCTTCCGATTACGGGGCGAGCACTTAACTCCTGTGCCACCGTCGCCCCAAAACATTATAAGAAAACATTATGGGAAAACATCTTTATGGAGTGAGTCCAGATTTGCAATGAGCAAGCGATGCCTCCGACCGGTGCCAGTCTATGTGCCACAATGTGATCCAGTGAAGCCCCAAGTGCTGTCCCATGCGGTGCCACCATCGTGGCTCTCTGACCGGACTTTCCCGTCTCGATGTAGCCGTTCCATACATCCCGTGAGCGGATCCTCCAAGCTGTCCCCTACCAGGGGGAATGTGTGAACAGCGCCTGCTCTCCAGTGT